GCCCACATAACACAGAGAGATGCATATGCAGCCCAAAATGGTAAATAGGGTGAGAACCACTGCTCTAAGGCAATGCTGTTAACCAAACCAAGAAGGGGTGTGCCCTGCTCTCAGCTGAGGAGAGGGAGCTGCACTCCCCTTATGGCCCTGGTGAGGAGCCAGGCTCTTTGCCCCACTCCTGGGCTCACCTTTAGGTTGAAGGTGAATAGCATATCCCCTCTCTTCTTGTCACTGGCTGAGCCATGAGGAGGAGACATTGTTTCTCCTGCTCTACGTTTGCCGGGTGGTACAAGGAATACTGGCAGACTCTCTTTCGTCCATCTCCATTACTTCTGACAAAGGGGTCTGAAGGTACTACAGACTGCCTCTGCATGAAAGTCCTGTCAGGGAGAGGAACCAGTTCTGAATTATTGTCAGCACTAGGCCTTTGATTCAATGATGATTTCTTTCCATCCACCCACTCCCCCCCATGCTCCATGTTGCCATTGTTCCTAGTGACGCTGACTCCTTGTGGTGGTGAATATGGGTCACCAAGATCATCAGCTGCACTGATCTAGATATGAGGGGCTCTGGATGCACAGGGGTTGGGCAGATGGGGGAGCAGCTCCCTGTACAGGGATCCCTCCCCCTGCAGCTGAGGAGCAATGGATGCAGGAAGCAGGACAGGGGACTTTGCAGAGCTTCCTGCAGCCAGGGGAGAAATCTGGGGGTGGGTCTGACCCAACCCCAAATGCTGTGCAGGGGAAGAGGAAGTCCCGTCCTCCCCAGCCCAGCCGGGACTAGCAGCTGAGCTTGGTGCAGGGTAGGAGTCACCGGCCGGGTCTTCCCCAGTCCCGCCTCCTGCCCCACAATGTCAACATTTCTAATTGTGCATATTGTTTGCAAGGCTTGTTATTTATTTTAACTAACAACTTTTTAAATGTGCCTCCTAGTCACCTATTCAGAACTTACCCCACAACTTCAGCAGAGACCAGAGGTGGATTGGTGAACTTGCCATGTTTGAGAAGATAGATTACAGGAACATTAAATGGATTTGGGGAGGAGTTTTATATAACTCCTTAATAATTAAAAGCACGTAATCTCTCAGTCAACTTTTACAGACTTCTAAGCACCATTCCTCTCCAGCAGGTGAAACACAATCTGGTCTAATGGCATTATTTGTCACTGCTCTGTGTTATCAGCTAACACCATATCCAGGTACCTAGGGAAAGACAAGGACACTTAGATAAGCCTTTTGCAATAAGATGATTTAGTCTATAAAAGATTTCATTTCTCCATCTAACTCAGCTGACTATTTTTTACCATCATATTGCAACAATATACATATAAGAACTTTCCCTATCTAATGGTTATCTTGCCTATCCTAGCTTATTTGTAATGGGCCCATCGCTACGGTGTCTTGGAGCCGGTAATTTGAAAGCATACAGGCAGACTCCTGTGCTGACACAGATCCACAGTTGGATCTGGTTCTAGGTTCCCATATATGCCTCATAATTAATGGGCAGATCTTTTCTTTATAGGTCTTAATGTCTAATTGACATAAGGTACAATATCGATAAAAATAAACAATAGTGCAAAGAAATACACTATAACCCCCCACTCAATAAAATATCCTAGTGCAAGGCACTCACTCTAGCAGGTTTACTATTTATTAGGCGGGTTTAAAAAGGTCGATCAAGAGAAAGCAGAAGTTCAAGATCCTACTCCCTGACCTCCCAGGACTAGTAAACTTTACAACCTCAACTCTCCAGTACTCTGCGCCTTACATAACTGTTCATACCTGGCCCAAGTCACATAAAATGCTATCTTTCTGATGTGGTAAGATTTTACACCCTCCTTGTACAGGTGGAAGTGGTTACACAACACGAAGAGCAACTAAGAATCAGGCCCTTTGTGTGGCTGTGTTTGTAGGATTAGGCCCAACAGGCTTAGCAAACAATTATAGTGGAGTAGTTGTGACAATGAAAAGGATTTTCATGTAATTTAATTGTATTATGTATAAGTAGTAGTAGTAGTATTACCGTAGCACCTAGGAGTTCCAGTCACGGACCAGGATCCCATTGGCTGGGCGCGGGACAAACAGAACAAAAAAAAAGAGGGTCCCTGTCCCTAAAGGGCTTACAAAGCAATTTGAAGCATCTCTCCCCTGTTCATGGGATCCAATGATTCTTGCATTTGCTGTAACCTGAAAGTTATGTTCTTTATTTCCTTAACATTCCTGCCCCAGGATATAACTGAAAGACATTCAGTTTTTGAACAGTTTATCAGAATACATTTTGCAGCTGCCACTAAGATTTGTATGGTGTTTTGCTTCCACTGATTCCCCCTGGCAGGACAACCAGGAAGTATTCAATCCTGGCACTCGAAATGAGAGATTAAATAGAGACGGTCAAAAAATTGTATAAATTTGAAATTTGTTGACAAAATCTGTCTGTTTTTTCTACCAGTTCTCAATGAATGGTATTGCTTTGCACTTCTCATCCAAGTATCTCAAAGCACTTTGCGAACATTAATGGATTAAGCATCACAACATGCATGTGAGGAACACTAGGTGTTACTATCCCCCATTAGACAGATGGGTAGGTGAAGTTGTAGAGAAGATAAATGATTTACCCAAGGCCACAAAATAATCTACGACACAGTCAGGAATGAAACTCAGCAGTCCTGACTCCCAGTCATTTGCTCTAACCATTAGATGACAGATCGGACTGTGCTTTCAGTCACACCCCAGTAAATCAGGAGTCAGTCTATAAAATCAAGAGAGTTACACCAGTGTGAGAGAGAGCAGTATCAGGCCACCATGTCTAACATTGACTATAAATTAGCCAAGATGAACAAATCTTGGGATGATTCCTTAGGCACTGTTTTTAGTCTTATTTCCTTCAGTCCAGCTGAAGCATATCCTGCTATTTCATGATGTAGAAAGTGCTAGATGCTGTGTTAGGACTAGGGCAGCAATCAGACTTAAACTGGTCAGAGGTCAAACTGAGGTGAGCAACTTTGTGCATGCAGCACACAGGTGTTCTGCTAAGAAGGAACACACAAACGAACACACACACTCTTACCAGTCATAAACCAATTCTTTCCCAGTGAAGGAATCATATGGAAATTTCTGTGATGTTAATACTCAGTGGGTGGATTCTCTACTGTTCTATCCCTGCTCCTAAACCCATCAGAGGAAGGAAATGTCTGTATAATATATTATATTATTGCAAGCAGTGCTAAACTAGCTGGTTATTTAATTCATGCTGTAGAAACTTTCTAGTCAAACCTCATTTTTGCTCCTGCAGCTGTTCCTCTTCCTATTCCCCTTGGGGAGAAGAAGTGGCAGTGAGAGATTTTAGGCTGCAGGGAGAGGAAGACCTGGGACTCCAGGGGGAACAATGACTTTCCCCAGGCTTTTCACAATGAGATAAAATTTCTCTCTCAAGGAAAACCTAAGTCAACAATGACTTGTCTCCCTGAAACATTGCTTCAGCCCCAGGGTTGAAGGCTAAGCAGCACCCATTGCCTGGTCTGATTATACAGTTGATTACAAGATAATCCCTTGAATATTTCATGCAGGAACGAGTGTGCAATGTCCGGGCAGTGCAGTAACATGAGCAGCTGAGATGCAGCCTTATAAAAAAATTTCCCCACTTACCTTCCGCCAGGTAGCACAGCGGAGTGTTGCAGACACAAACTGAACTGTTGGCAGGAGAAAGAAACCAGGAACATCTAATCCTTGCAGCAATGTCTTTTTGAGACCGAGCTGAATATGATCTAAAGCTCTGACTTTGTGTTTATTTTCCCTCCTCTTGCCATCCAGGGAGTTGTTAGGAATGACTATGCCAGGCTGTTGTTGATCCTTTATGAATCAGGAGAGAAAGATGCTGGAATTTCAGCAAAGAGGTGCCATGGCCTCGCAGGTTGTGGGTGGTTGTTTCCCTTCCCTCTGTACTGGTGATTACTGAAACAGAAGGTCTGGCTAATTAGCTCCAGTGTGTAGTTTGCTTAAAGCAGGCTCAAGCTGCGATGGAAATAGCTGCTAGTGCTGTTCACCAATTAAGCTAGTACAGAACCAGGAGCAGATTATACACACTATCAACATAGCCACAGCTTCTTAGTACTGTTGCAACTTCCAGCCAAAGTCCTCACTGCAATATGGAAGCACAAGCACACGGTAAGTTTACCCTCTGCTTCGTAGTTAATTGTCTGTGAGACAAAGTAATTGAGTGGGAGGAGGGCAAGGAATATCTTGTATGGCCTCCAGCTGTTTTCCTTTAGTGCATTTTATTTTCAGGGGCCAATAACTCTGGCCCATAAAAAAAATGTCTTCTTGGATTTATAAGCGGGGCTTGGTTTCTAATGGCAGTCTCAAAAATAAGTCACTGGACAGTTTGTATGACCTGCATGAGAAAGCAAGTCACAGGCAGTGAGTAATACTGGATTTTTGCTCTTTTCTTCTGTGGTTCCCTTACTACAGATATAATTGAGAGGGAGAACAATATCCTTTTCAGAGGAGTATTAAGATGTAATAAACTCTCAGTTCCCATATGTACAAAACCAGTCCCCTCGGTGTATAAAACATGCAAAGTTTGAATCCCTAATGTATAAGATTAGGCTTATGCTTATTATTAATATTGTTGCACTATTACCTTTGTTTGTATAGTTAAAAATTCCACAGTTGTTTGTAGTATAGCTCATTGATTTCAGGGGTTTATATCTTTACTCTGAGCTTTGGGACTCAGCATGCTGTACGAGAGAGATGCAGTATTATTATTAGGGCTGTCAAGCAATTAAAAAAATTAATCACGATTAACCACACAATTAAAAAAAAATTATGATTAATCTCACTGTTAAGCAATAATAGAATACCATTTATTTAAATATTTTTGGATGTTGTCTACATTTTCAAATATATTGATTTCAATTACAACACAGAATACGAAGTGTACAGTGCTCACTTTATATTTATTTTTGATTACAAATATTTGCACTGTAAAAAACAAAAGAAATATTATTTTTCAATTCACCTAGTACAAGTACTGTAGTGCAATCTCTTTATCATGAAAGTTGAACTTACAAATGTAGAATTATGTACAAAAAAATGCATTCAAAAATAAAACAATGTAAAACTTTAAAGCCTACAAGTCCACTCAGTCCTACTTCTTGTTCAACCAATTGCTCAGACAAACAAGTTTGTTTACATTTGCAGGAGATAATGCTGGTTGTTCACAATGTCATCTGAAAGTGAAAACAGGAGTTCTCATGGCACTGTTGTAGCCGGCGTTGCAAGATATTTACACGCCAGGTGCGCTAAAGATTCATATGTCCCTTCATGCTTCATCCACCATTCCAGAGGACATTCATCCATGCTGATGACAGGTTCTGCTTGATAACAATCCAAAGCAGTGTGGACCAACACATGTTCATTTTCATTATCTGAGTCAGATGCCACCAGCAGAAGGCTGACTTTCTTTTTTGGTGGTTCGGATTCTGTAGTTTTGTGTATCGGAGTGTCACTCTTTTAAGGCCTGGTCTACACTAACCCCCCAATTCGAACTAAGGTACGCAACTTCAGCGACGTACCTTAGTTCGAACTTACCGCGGTCCAGACGCGGCAGGCAGGCTCCCAAGCAGGATTACCGGAGTCGACGGGGAGCACTTCTGGGTTCGATTTATTGCGTCCAGACAAGACACGATAAATCGAACCCAGAAGTTCAATTGCCTGCCGCCGAACCAGCGCGTAAGTATAGACAAGCCCATAGACTTCTGAAAGCATACTCCACACCTCATCCCTCTCAGATTTTGGAAGGCATTTCAGATTCTTAAACCTTGGGTCAAGTGCTGTAGCTATTTTTAGAAATCTCACATTGGTACCTTCTTTGCGTTTTGTCAGATCTGCAGTGAAAGTGTTCTTAAAACGAACCACATGTGCTGAGTCATCATCCAAGACTACTATAACATGAAATATATGGCAGAATGCGGGTAAAACAGAGCCAAGGAGTTCAGTCACAAAATGAATTCATGCATTATTTTTTTTAACGAGCGTCATCAGTATGGAAGCATGTCCTCTGGAATGGTGGCTGAAGCATGAAAGGGAATACAAATGTTTAGCATTTCTGGCATGTAAATACCTTTCAATGACGGCTACAAAAGTCCCATGCGAACACCTGTTCTCACTTTCAGGCCATTGTAAATAAGAAGCAGGCAGCAGGACAGTATCTCCCGTAAATGTAAACAAATTTGTTTGTCTTAGCGATTGGCTGAACAAGAAGTAGGACTGAGTGGACTTGTAGGCTCTTAAATTTTACATTGTTTTGTTTTTACTGCAGTTATGTAACAAAAAAAATCTACATATGTAAGTTACACTTTCACAATAGAGATGGCACTACAGTATGAGGCGAATAGAAAAATACTATTTCTTTTGTTTATAATTTTTACAGTGCAAATATTTGTAATAAAAATCATATAAAGTGAGCAGTTGTAACTGAAATCAATATATATGAAAATGTAGAAAAACATCCAAAAATATGTAATGAATTTCAATTGGTATTCTATTGTTTAACAGTGTGATTAAAACTGCGATTAATCGTGATTAATTTTTTTGAGTTAATCATGTGAGTTAACTGCGACTGACAGCCCTAATTATTATGCCACCCCAACTAGCCCCGCCCTCTGCAAAATTATTATTCTTGTAACATGCTTCATATCACAGTCCATGTTGTGAAGTAGTCCTTAAGATTCTGGGCCTGACTCTGATCTTGTTAACATCAGTTTTATACCAGTTTTATACCATCGTTACCCCCATTGTTTTCAATAGAAAAAATATTCCCTATTTACATCAGGGTAAATGAAAATAAGGCCTTTCAGATGGCTTTTGGGGACTGGGATGGAGAGAGGTCAGTATAAGGAAGGTAAATCACACACACTCTTTATATACTATGTGGATGGCTTGGTGTGATGTTATCTAATTAAAATATAACCATATAGATTATTGTTGCAACCACTGTTATATATTTGCAGCAAATCTTGTACAAATGTTGTCTAGGGAGGCGTCTATGAAAAGGTTATGATTTGCTGGTTATGATTATGCAATCTGTATGCATGTATCATTTTTATATTTGAAGTTACGAGTATTGGCTTTATACTTGTATTTCAAATGTTTGCTCCTGGGATCCCGCCCACAAGGTAGCTAGCCAGCACATCTTGAAGGGACTATTCAAATTAAGTGGCGCATCAAGAAACACTTGGTTGACAATGGACCATGGGAGACGCCCTTCAACAGTGAATGGACTGTCATGTAAACGTGCTGTCAGGAGTGTAGGTAATGGCTTCCTGCAATGACTGAGCAAAATTGGGCATGAACATGTGACTTGCCCATGTACCTCCAAACACCATCTTGTTGCTGTAATTTTCCACAGTAAGAACAATGGGATGCCCTCCACATGCCAAAAACTATAAAAGACCCTGGAAACACATCCATTTTGTCTTCAGTCCTGCTTCTTACCTGTGGAAGAACTTTGCTACAAACTGAAGCTCTGAACAAAGGACTGAATGACCCATCCAAGCTGTGGATGTACTCCAGAGACTTGACTTAAGCCAGGTGTTTATTCCATCACTGCTACAAGCATGAACCAAAAAATTTGCAACTAGTGTATGTATTTGATTCTTTTAACCAATTTTAACTCTCACCTTTCTTTCTTTTTATGAATAAGCCTTTAGATTTTAGATACTAAAAGATTGGCATCAGCGTGATTTTTCGGTAAGTTCTAAGTGAGGGATAGGCAACCTTTGGCCCGTGGCCCACCAGGGTAAGCCCCCTGGCGGGCCAGCCTGGCTTGTTTACCTGCACATCCCCAGGTTTGGCCGATCGTGGCTCCCACTGGCAGTGGTTTGCTGCTCCAGGCCAATGAGGGCTGCGGGAAGCCACGGCCAGCACATCCCTCGGCCCGCGCCGCTTCCCGCAGCCCCCATTGGCCTGGAGCGGCGAACCGCAGCCAGTGGGAGCCGCAATTGGCCGAACCTGCGGACGTGGCAGGTAAACAAACTGGCCCGGCCCGCCAGGAGGCTTACCCTGGCGGGTTGTGGGCCAAAGGTTGCCGATCGCTGTTCTAAGTTATATATTGACCTGGGTGTGTGGCTGATCCTTTGGGATCAGAAGAATCTTTCATTTGATGAGACTGGTTGTAAAAAACCACTCATCTCTGAATCCAGTGTTTTTGGTGGTGATATATAAGAACTGGAAAGCCTGAGAAAACTGTCTTTATATTTTATTAGCCAGTGTGGTAAAACAAAAGTTTACTTTTGTTGCTGGTTTGGTATATCCGATGGGGGATTAGCCACCAGTCTTAGGGTGTATCTGCCCTATTTCTCAGCAGTTCATCCTGAACTTGGCATCCTCAGTTGTGACCCACTGAGGCACGATGACAGTAGCATAGTCTGCAGGATCCACAGAACCAGGTCAATTAAGCTTTGGTTCAGAACCTCACACTATAAAAATTTGAATGTTGATATTAAGTTTTAAAGGTTAAAGATCAGTGACCATGAGCCAGGTGGCATCAGCAGAAGCAATGAAGCTACAAGCCCTGAGAGACAGCCTGTGTCTTGAACAAAGACTGGCAGAACTTAGAATGCTGGAGAAGCAAGCCTTGGCCCAGCTGGAAAAAGAATCCCCATGCAAGGCATATGGAACAGCTTGCTGCTGAGGAGAGGGTTCGGCAGATGCAACAAGAAACTGCTAGACTTGAGCAATGGAAGAATGGCAGAAACTGTATCATCTTGAA